ATAGCGGCGAAGCGGGCGCCAATTGCGAAATCGTAAATTCTCATTTTGGCTCACCAGCCGCCCGTCCGCAACTCTATCTCACAGTTTCTGATTACTCCAATCATTATAACATATCACAACTTTCACTCTTCATCACTTTATTATTTGATATACTACATCGTTTACGCTACACTACTCCATCGTCAAGTTTACTATAAGGCTCACTGCACACTAATCCATGATTTAACACACTGCAGCATTGCCTCACTTACAAGTCGCTACTGTTCGTCGCTCCTGCGTAATATAATTTCATTAACTTACCACAGCGTCTATTCAGCTCTGCGCCGGTTCGGTATTTTTACCAAGATGGCCGCGAAAAGATACGTCTCGCTCGCAGAAATAATGGACGTAAGTATCTCATACTATTACATTTTCATTTATTTCTCTTTAATACCTCCGGAAGTACTAAACCCAGTCGTACTTCGTACGAACAATCATTAATAGTACTCCCAGAGGGAAGTCCTTTTTGAATCAACATTAAACGTGTATTATAATACAATGTAGTTGTACTAGTACAACGCGCAACCCCATGCGCAAGTACGAGGCAATAGTACAACCACACCTGCAATACATATCAGATTCAAAGAGGCTTTCAAAGAGACATGAATGAAAATTATGTCCTTTTATTTCGCGAGACCCCCTTTTTTCATAAAGTGCCGTCTCAGCGAAACATTTTTAATACATGTTACGGTCGTGTTTTTGGCACTCATTCCTATTTCATAATACATAATGGTCTAAAAGCCATAATTCAATGAAAACTTCATCACGACACTAACAATCAACATGCCTTGATGTATGTGCCTGATAAAGGTGGTACATGGTACTGGCACGGTCAGGACGGAGGCATTGAGGGTCTAAATCAAGACACGTGGGTTGTAGTTTACATAGCTCAGATTAAATCAGCCCTGGCGAGGATAGAGTTCCCGTACCATATCCTGTGTAAGGGAGATGATATGCGTGTGTGCTTCGCAATACCTCCTTCTGTTTACACGCACGCTCAATACCGCAAATACGTGAGGAACTGGTCGGACGTATTTCACGAGCCCTTGCCGGACTTGGGCACACAATTAAAAAAGGAATCATACGGCTCGGAGACGTATTTTGCATTCTCTAAAGCAGCATCCATCTAAAACATAGAACTGCCCCAAACATTGAGAAAAATCCAGAAGGTGTACGGAGCATCGAACGCTTTCATCGCCACGTTGGACGAGTATGTCGGATCGGCTTTCAGTAATGCTCACTCAGCTTGTAAAGTTGGAGTTCAGACTTGTGGTCCATATTACGTTGCATGTTATTGGGCTTACTGGCATATTCTGAAGACAAGAGGATATTCCGAATTATCTGATCCTCAACTGCTGGCTCTTCTTCTTGTCCCGAATATGCTGGGTAGTTTCCCCATCATATACTTACATAACATGTCTGTTCGTGCTGAATCAGATCTGCTCCCGCCCTTCCTATGTATTTACTCTTATTTACAAGCTAGGAACTCGTCTATTGCCGGTTACATGCAACATTTTATGAGAGTTAAACCCCGTGCTAAAGAGGATCTGCGTATGCTTTTATATGACCCATACGCACTTCCTATTGAGAGACCACTGACACCAGCTACGGTAATTCGAAACATGGTGAAATCTGTATTACACCAGGTGATCCAGCTAGAAGAAATCAGAGAGATTCTTGACCTAGTAGACCCGTCAACCTCCGAAGCTCTCATGCAAACCATCTTGTCAGCAAAGCCGTTCCACGTTAAGATCTTATACACACTGTTCGCAGCCACGCCTGAAGGGATTCTTGATGAAATTGTTAGAAAATTCGAATCTTGTAGAAGCATAATGGAACTAGTGATTTCACGAGGCGGAATACGGAAGGCAAGTACGGTTGATTGTTACATCAGAAAAGAAACTACAAACTTGGGGAATCGCTCGGTTGAACGGCATATTTGAAGGCAGTATTGACGCCCCGCTTAACCATCTAGTTACAGCATGCCCGACCGAGACAGCCTGGCGTTGGAGGGAATACGCATGGGGCAGAGAAATACACGGGATCACACAACCGCCATTGCAGCACGTCATGCACTACATGGTGGATCAGGCGGTGATACTTGGGCTGACACACATCATTTCTAGTTAGATGCCCTGCTGGAAGAGGAACAGGAGTCTTGCGAAACAGCAGAAGCGGAAGTCCGTCGCAATACCGCTGTTGAGGATGAAACTATACGTCAATGAGAGAGGCATGCTTTGACCTGCACGATGGCATTCGGCGCCAGAACGAGGAAATCGAAGAATGCATGCAGAAAATGAAGGGCTTCAGCGATGCGATCATGAAGCAGTGCACGAAGAATGCTGAAGGATCCAAAGTATATCATCAATGAATTGAAGAAAGGTTTCGGAGCGTAGCAAGGAAGCCACGGCTCAAATCACAAGATATGCAGAAGAGTGGAAACGGCTAACGGCACAAATCGAAGAGCAGACGAAGGAACTGCAGGATTGGAAGGAGGAAAGAAAAGAAGACTCGCGGTCGAGCAGTCCAAGGACGGGTTGCAAGAGGAGACATGGAGGTTTCGAAATCCCGCCCTCGGAATTACAGAGGTATGAAAGAATACTGGATCAGAGCGAGAAAGAGCTGACGGAAATCGACGATTTTCTCAGTCGAAATGTGGTCAAAGATAGACGTTTCGGCAGCAGGAACATGAAGGAAGGTGAGGGAGGAATGACCTGCGTGTATTGTAAGGTAAGAGGAAATCACTACTCCGACGCGTGTGCGGAGGTGCGCTCACTGTCCAGGAGGATCGAGTTGTTGAAATCGGAAAACAGATGTATGGTATGCCTGGAATTCCATTTTGCACCGAAGTGCCCTAGGAATACACCATGCTTCTACTGCAAATCAGGTAATTATCGCGACGACCTCGATCATCATTGCAGTATTTGCAGGAGGCCCGAAGAGTTCGCCGATAAAATGAGACGCAGAGAAGAAATCAAGGTTTTGATCGATATATGTGAAAGGGCACTGGAAGGCTCGAAGCCCTGTTCTTCAAGATGGTCCGGTTCGAGACGAGGAAGGCCAGAGCACGATCGTGAGCCTTCGCGGAGATCGCAAGCTGATAAGAGGACGGTTGATGAGGAGTGGTAGTAACTCGATTAACAACTGACCGATAACGACACATGGCGGCGCGGAGTATACTGAACTCTAGTTCAGTATTTCCTAAGGATATTCTCAGTATTTCTCACAGCCTTTCTCAAATGCCTTTACAAAAATGTAAACATTCGGGATGTTGATCGATGTTGTTACCTACGTAACGCTTTTCCCATTGTTATCTGATATCGAGCCTTCTTAAGCCGCATGTAATCGTCGCCTCAGTCACATTTTTCTCAACTTTTCTTTCTAGTTTTCTGATATGTTTTATTCTCGTTCGCTTCTTGTGCATATGCTTTAGAAACACGACCTTTCATATTTTTTGTAGGATTCGGCACGAGCACTATAACTTAGTAATCTTAGGGAGCTGTCCTCAGCCTCAGCTGATCTTAAGGAGTAGGTTAGTTTGATATTCAGCTCATATTCTGAAAGGTCTTTCTGTCACTGTCTCTTACTTGTAGAATTAGTGATAAATGTTTAATTACCCAAGTTTGAGGTCGTGTACGAGAAAGTCCCGCGTGGCACAGTATTGTTCTCTAACTACTATATTCGTATACGACCCCATTTACTGATGGTCCTTGAAGGGACGCCACGAGTCTACGATGAGAAGAGTAGATGCACTCGAGTCTGAACATGCTACACATGACTTGATCCATTCGAGCATGAGCTGCTTACTCATTATATGAGTTGTGTTGGCTCTAACGACCAAGTTGGCGGCTTGAAAATATCCCTTGCTCGGGAACATTCCATTGGGCTCCTGGTGAAAGGAACTATTCAAAAGGCGCATATTTTCCTGAACATAGGTAAAACGGACTTGCATCACAACAAAAAGTGTTTTTCCTAAGTGGCCGTCGGCATACAATAACGGCATCACAGTAATGAGTGCGTTGTAGTTAAGTAAGCCAGCACCAAGCTCGGGCAGAACATTTCGCCGGACAACGAAGATGACAAGTGCTGTGGTCCCTTGTGTCAAATGCCACGTCGTGGTCGGGCCGCGAACATGTCCAAAAGTGGTAGCGTAACATGTATAGAGTTTTAGATCTATACACATTCTGATGTCGTGGTATGTTTGAAACACCTCTGCAGTATTGCTTCTCACCCGAGTTGACTGGACATTATGATTGCATCAGGGCACAGCATTCGATGGGGATTTTGGTCGAGCCTGTACGACCCCCCCCTTTTTTTGGGGGTTCGGTACGACCCCCCCCCCTTTTTTGCCGTTCGGTTTTTTTCGCCTTAAATGAAACTATGAAACGCCCACTATGAAATTCTAC